CTAATTCACCTTTCTTTCTTATCTTTTTTTTTTTTTTGAGGGGTGGGGGGGTCGAGATGAGCGGGAGAATCAATGCGAAAACAGTTGTAATTATCTAATTAATTATGGCAAAATTAAAAGCAAGTACAAAATCAATCTGCGGCGGTGTCGAGGAAGTGCAGTCAAATTGATATCCATCTGCTCCCCCTTATAAAGCACATGAATAAGCAATCTGAGGACGCAGCTGATATCCTGCAGTTTGGCAGAGGCTGCCCATATGGGCTGTGGGTGTCAGGAGACCCCGAATCATGGTGGGAGATTACAAGTGACTCTCGGTATGATGTCGGCGTTTGGGCTAAAGGATGGGGAAATGGTGATAATGGGAAATGTGCAGACAGGAGATAAAACTTTAGGAAACGAATTTATTTAAAGGTGATCAAAGGTGCAGATCTATCTGTTTATTTATCTATTTATACATATATATGTGTTTATGTATACACTGCTACTTCGTTTTGTTGTTGCTTTTTGGTTTATTTTCTGTTTCCTTTTTACACCTCTTTTGTCATTTTTGTCACATTTTGTATTTCTTAGTAATTTTTATTTATTTTCTTAATTATTTTTCTTTTTTATTCTCTTTGCCCCTTGTGTCTTTTATACTGATGAACTTTCGTGGTTTTTTTTTTCAATCAAATTATATTTTAGCAAATTGTCCTGTGATTTTTAAACCACATTGATATGTTAATTTAACTTTTACTTACTATTTTATTTTCCTGGACATATTTATTATATATATATGAAATGCAGTCATAAAACCACTGTTTTTTATTTCTTCAACACAAACATGTCATGTCTTTGTGATCACTGGTTATTGTCCACTTGAAAAAGTCGTCCATCCTAGAAAATGTCATGACGTAAAACTGCTGTCCTTTCTACACTGTTACTGCTGAAACGTTTGAAGTACTTGGTAAAATAGTACTACGAGTACCAGCTCATAATACGTATAAAACACAGAAAAGTAATATTTGTATTTTATTGTTAATATTATCATTTCCGCTCATTCTATTAAATGGCGATGTTTCGAATCATCTGGAAATGAAATCGTTGTTTTTTTTTTAATATCATTTCCGCTCAATCTAATAAATGGCGATGTTTCGAATCATTTTGGAACTGAAATCGTTGGGGTTTTTTTTCATTTTTTTCTGCTTGTATTATTCAATCGAAAACAATCATCACATTAGCTGCTCGGTGTGTGAACTGTTCAAAGAGGTGAAGTCAGGACCAACACTTTCTTAATTATCACACCGTTTTGTTTTTGCACCGTGACACGGGGACGCCGTCGTGGCAGTAAAAGGCGGTACGAGGTACGAGGGGGCAAATCGGGCTGTTAGGGCGAGGGAGGGGGGCATAGCAGCAGCTTTAGGGCAAAAGTGCAGTGACGTGTGAAATTACAGCCCATGGTGCTACATATTGTACCAGAAGCTCCCACCACCCAAAAAAAAAAAGAGCAGAAAAAAAGGTAGAAATCATCCTTTAAGTTGTCCAGAGGGCAGCTGGACGCAAAACAAAGGTCACCGAGTTTAACCTAATAATAATCATAATAATAATTTAAATCATACGGTAGACTATTCTTTTTATTAATAGTATTGGTGGTAGTAATTTTGAATCATATGTTACTATTCATTTTATTAATAGTATTGGTGGTAGTAATAGTAGTACTGTTAATAATAATACAAGTGTTATTATTAGTAATGATAGTAATGATAGTATTTTTATTAATATTATTTAAAAATATATATTTTAATATAATCTAATGCACCAGTAGAAGACAGGAAGTTTCATGCACTACTTTTGTTGTTAATTGCGCAGACATATTTCTGTATTGATGTGTGATGTCTCTGCAGACATGTTTTATTTTTGCATGAAAAAAAATTTAAAAAAATCCAACTACATGGCAGTTTGTTCCAGACGTTGCTGACCAGTAAGGTTATTTTTATATTTGGCTTTTGAAAAAAAATCCCAAAATTTCGTTACCAGAAAATAAAAAAAAAAAATAAATACAATAATTGATTAACTATAACTTTTGACTCAACAGCAATAGCTACAGCAGCAGCAGCAGCAGCAGCAGCAGCAGCAGCAGCAGCAGCAGCAGCCTACCTGCCCTCCTCTCAGCAGGCAGGAGCACAGCGGGCTGTATAAACCTACTGTGTGAGCGCCATCTACAGGCGCACAGGGCTTAGGTGTACAGCGATAATGATAATAGCGGTGATGAAGAGGATAAAGAGGAAGAGCAGGAGAACAGTGATAGTCTGAACCCTCGACAGGCTTCGAACACCTGACCTCGATGACAGTGAACACTCACTCGATGTTTTTTCATTACAACTGAAATTAGTTCATACACTCAACACGCGTGTGGCCCAGCTGGAACGTGTGGGGAATTCATATGTCGGCACTTTTTAAGTCCACTTCACACTCTCATGGGTCACTCGGGTCATAGGTGAAAACCACAGTTTATACGTTAAAATATTTAAAATACTTAGAAAAAAAAATATATGTTTTTGAAAAATTCGGACTCAGAATGTCGGAGTCCACAATGTGGGTCACTGGGTCGAGCACTGATACTTTTTAAAGCACAGAATATTTTCAGAGACTTTTTGGTTCTTTTGAAGCCGCCGTTTCTTCAAGTAACTCTAAAATAAAATAACATAAAAAAAGAATAAAAAAAAAAAAACCGAGTGGACACTGGCTGTCTGATCACACCTTCACAACAGAACTCTCCTCGGCCTGACACTGCCTCCTTTACCTCTCTTCTACCCCCTGCCTTTAATTTCCCTGATTCCTCACCCCAAAGTCTCATCATTTCCCATTTCGTCTCCCTCCCCTTCCTGGCTGTCGGATGCAGGGACCTCCTCATTTGAGCTGCAGGTTTTTACGTGGGCGAATCACAAAGTGTTGGAATCTATTGCCTTTGTCTGACAAGTCATCCATCTCTATGCGCGGGGATCTGTGGGACGGAGGTATAGAGGAGGGAGCAAAGAAGAGGAGGAGGAGGGAGGAGGAGGAGGAGGAGGGGGCGCTGATCTGTGGTGGGACTGACTGCAGCTTTTAGAAACAGACACACGGGGAGAGGGCTTTCATTCTCAGCGCAAAGCTTTGCTCAGGCACAGTCCATTCTGGAGGAGAGGGGGACACACTGGCTCTGGGATCCGCGCCGCTCCGCGTCCACGTCTCTGTCATCTCCGCCCCTTATCTGATCAAACCACAGAGCCTCCACCAGCCACCAGAGAAGGAGAAGGAGGAGCAGAAGAGGAGGAGGATATTTTTTTTTCATTCTTCTTCTTCTTCTTCTGGCCTGCAGATTCCCCCGAGTGGACCCGCGTGGAGACCTGACCGCATCCTCATCATGTCCTTTAAACACAAACTGTGACGGCTGTTCGTGTTGCTGCGTATACCGTGCGCCGTGCACACGCGTGGGTCATGCTCCGCACCTGACAGCCGTGCTGTCCACTCCAGAGTCCAGACTCTAACCCGAGGAAAACTTAGCAACAACAACAACAACAACAACTTCTCCACTGCTGCTGCTGCTGAGGACACTTGACACAAGGACTGTTTTACAGCAAAAGAAGAAGAAAAAAA